TTGAAGACACCATTCTTCATTGCACTCTCTGTGGACTGCTGTATCGGTACTGTTGTGCAATTCATCTGTCCTGATGGTGATTATAAAGGGTTTTCAGACTGTCAAGAGAAACCATGATGAGTGTGCCCAGATGCTAGAGCAAACCCATGAGCTCCTGTATGCCATCATATGGATTCATGTGAAATCGGATACTGGGGAATTATCACCAATGATGTTGGACAATCTGGGCAAATTTACTGAGCAAGTCTCTCTTGCCACACTCTGAAATTACTGTTTCTTACTTCCCTAGGACCCTGCACAAGATCCACACTTTTGTTGAAGCTGAGCAGGAGCAAAGCAAGATCAAACAGTTTTTCCGGCAAGGAGAAATGAGGACATTGCTGAAGGCCTGTCATGCAGGTCTGGAACAAGCACTCGAGGTGTTCAAAGTGAGTCCATTGCTGTTGTTGGCACTGGGATGTTCAACCAGAGCACCACTATATAGGTTTACAGTGCCACAGTTCTAAGTGATATGGCAGACATGCAGCAAAATGAACAGAAGACACACCAGGAAGTTCTGGAGATGATCTCAGCTCTTTCTGATGGAGGGACATCTGAAGGAGGATCTTCTGTAAGTTCTGACTCAATTTGTTTAACACTGAGTAATCAGCTTGAACAGATTAGCAGAGTCTTGTCCAGCTCTCATTGCAGGTATGTGTTCGGATTCCATTTTGCATGGGTTTATAGTGACCTCCGGAAGCTCAACTTCATTTTCATTGCTGCCATCGGAACCAAAAATTTTCCATGGCCGTGAACTTGAGGTTGTAGCCATCATACAGCAGTTCAAACAGCAGATCCCTAGGGTTGCAATTTTGGGTGGAGGAGGAATGGGGAAAACAAGCTTGGCAAGAGCTATTCTCCATCACCCTGAAATCACTGCAAGATATGACCAATATCGTGTTTTTGTGGCTTGTGATGCTGCATCAAGCAGTGTTCAACTTGCTGCTCTCATTGGAGCACATGTTGGACTAAAGCCTGGGCCAGATCTAACTGAATCAGTTGTCAGCTACTTCTCTAGCAGGCCTGCTTCACTTTTGATCTTGGACAATCTGGAGACCATCTGGGAGCCAAGAGATTCCCGGGCAGATGTTGAAAAGTTTCTAGCCCTACTCGAAGATATCAAGCATCTTGCATTGATTGTAAGTGAAGGACCCAACTTTCATTCCTTGTGCACTGAGACATTTTAGATCACAATGCGTGGAGCAGAAAGGCCGACCAATGTCCGGTGGACTCGGCCATTTTTGGAACCACTGAGGCCGCTGGCACAGGAAGCTGCCCGGAAAACCTTCCTTGATATTGTGGATAATGGTTATGCTGTCGAAGATATCGACAAAATCCTCCACCTTGCTGACAACATGCCACTTGCAATTGATCTTATAGCCCATTTGGTGGACTATGATGGCTTTAACAGTGTGATGCATCACTGGGAGACGGAGAGAACCTCACTACTCTCAGAAGGCTATGACAAAGGGTCAAATTTGGACTTGTCAATTTCCATGTCCTTGGAAAGCCCTCGGCTGGCATCAGTGCCACATGCTCGTGATTTACTGAGCCTTCTATCAATGTTACCTGATGGCCTTTCCGATATAGAGCTCATCCAGAGCAAGATCCCAATTGAAAATATCCTAGCCTGCAAAGCAGCCTTACTTCGCACCTCCCTTGCTTACACTGATGACCAGAAACAACTCAAAGCATTGGTACCAATCCGGGAATATATGCAGAAAGTGCACCCCCCTATGGCATACATTGTTCAACCACTGTTCAAACATTTTAACCACCTCCTTCAAGTTTATTCTACATATCATGGGATGGTGTCTAATGCTAGCATTGTGGCTCGGATAGTATTAAATCTTGCAAACTTCCACAATGTCTTGGAAAATGGCCTGAAGCAAGATAATCCTGGCCTTGACAACACTATTGAGTGTGCATGCCGATTTGAACGCTTCATGGGACAAACGGGACGTGGTCATGGTCAATTAATACACCAAATTGCAAATGTTCTGCTCCACCTGAAAGACCCTAGACTGGAGGTTTATTTTATCATGACACGCTTTTTGGGATATCAACGCACTCCTGTTCCAAATGCAGAAGACTTGGTGAACCAGGCACTCAAATATTTCCCCCAGTTTGATGATTCAGATCTTAAATGTTGGTCATATGTGAATTAGTATGGTCTATACTTACTGACAGTATCCACCAGGTCAATTGTATAATGTGCTAGCAGAATATTCAGTTAGGTCAAACAATGATATCTCTAGGGGGATCTACTTCGCTCAAAGTGGCCTCTCTTTGTCCATTTCAACTGGTAACACCAAAAGACAGGCAGACATGTTGACTACATTGGCATGGATCAAGTGGACAACTGGGGATTATTCAGGATGCCAGGAGGATATTTATGAGTCGCGGAGGTTGGCCAGGATTTTAGGCAACCTGTTTATGGAGGCCGGTGCCCTGCACAAGGAATCGAGATGCTGGTATGCCTTTGGGAACTATAATCACGGCACCCTCCTTGCCAACAGGGCAAGAGATCTACTTGGTGTCTGTGCTATGTCTGGGGGTGAACTCGACTGGGGTATCCTCAGTGATCAAGCAGAAGTCCATCTGCTGAAGTCGGAATATGCTGAGGCACGTAATATCCACACTCAGATGCTTCATATGTTTGCAATTGATCAACACCCATATGATCATGCCTCCTCTTTAGTCACAATAGCCCAGATTGATGTGGAAATTGGTGCATCGAGCCATGGAGTGCACCAAAATCTCGATACTGCCAGGCAGCTTTTCAGCAACATGGGGTATTTAATGGGGATAATGCTGTGTGATATATTTACTGCAGCCCTCCGTGTGAATGAGGGGGACTTGCCAAAGGCAATGAGCCTATACCAAGCTTGCCTTAAATTTGCTTGGGGAAAATACACCGAGGCTGTCAACTACTGTTTGGAAGGACTGGGGAATGCCTCCCTCTGGGGTCCTATGGTTTCTCCTTCATATAATTGGACAGTGACATTCCTGGTCCATAGCCTGAAATTGAAGCGAAAGCTGGAAATACACAAAGCTCTCCAATTTCTCGGAGATGTGTATCTCACAGGCAAGGATGAGCAGACAGCAATCAGTCTATTTACTGTTGCTCTCGAAGGATTTACTCAAATGGATGTGCACCGTAGCAGAGCAGAGTGCATGCTTCGACTTGGAGATATTTCGGAACTGCATGGGGACCTCCCCGAGGCAGCAGAGCTCTGGAAAACAGCAAGACCGTTGTTTGAACAATCAGCACAGGTCAAACAACTTGCTCATATTGATGAACGACTTGCTAGAAAAGGTAGAACAGGTAGTCTATCAGGCCACCATCAAGAGCTCTTCGTTCATCTCTCAGCTCTCAATGCACCAATTACTCATCCAGAAACCACGGATGGGGGGAGATTGACCTAACAGCTGTTTTTATTCCAACTTAATTGTGTTACTGCATAGATCTGTTCTCTCTTTAGTTTTTTGTCTTGCTGTTAGAGTTGCCGGTATATATTTATTGGAGTAGCAGTAGTTACCTATGGAGTTCTCCCAAATTTCATTATGGGCTCAAAACATGATATTCTCTTTCCGCAAATCTGAGGCATATGCAGCAAATGAAATCTTTAGATTTGTCAGTAGCAGCTTCCAGTCCATCATCCCCATGTCCTCCACCATGAGCGTGATCTCCGAGTTACTATCACCTTTCTGGCTGCCATCATTGATGTTTTCAGAGCCAATCTAAACCCCAGCATTGATCAGCCGCTACCAACTTCGCATAAGAGGAAGGACATGCATGACGACATCACAATCATAAGCTTCAAGTTTTTACTCTGGAGACATCAAGTTAGAACTCAGGAATTGAGCTGACTTGAGTGGTGTACCTTTGTCACTCTTTGCCCCAAGTCTTTGTGTAATTGTCTTACAATGCTGGGTGTTTCCCATGCACAATGTGCCTAGCCAAAAGGGTGACTGACTCGCATGAGATTCAAGACAAGGTTGAGAAATTGAACATGCCACATGGTTCACTGTTTCTTGAACTTCAACCATTGATTCTAAGTTGAATTTTAACCCAGTGACTCTCCACAGCTTAAGCAACACAGGCGGTCTGTTGTCGTGGTTAACTAACTGCAATGAAAAGTGAGTGTCCTCCATTTATCTTGAATCACATGGGACATGAGGAAATATTCAGCCTTGACCTCAGCCAGAGTCATGAGTTACATAGAGCTGGTTGAAAAAAAACTAATGACCTGATTGTGGGGTGGTTATGAGACCTACTTAGAACAGTTCACCAGCAATTCCGCTCGGTAGAAAACCCTGTTCAATTCGGGGTCAGGTCTGACCTGACCTTGCTACCTATTTTTCTTGTGTCACTAGGATCCTAACCCGCATTGTTTCTGATACAACCTGAGAGTGGAAGTGAAGTGGTTGCCACGTTTGCTTGAATCACCAGCTGTATCTGTTTCAGCAGGAGGCTCTCATTTGATTCAGGGTCAGGTCATTCTATCTTCTGAATTTCTTTCTATGATTCACTTGATGTTTGCCCTCATTTTGTTGGCACTTATTGAGTTGATGTTGAAATCACTGCCTTCGAGCATCTCGGGCAATCCGCTAGTAGATTCCTGTGCTGTGTAGAACATTGTGGAACTATTTATTACATTGTGGAATACTGTAGAGTATTCTTATGACTCATCCAAGGCTGTTCACTGAGTAGTATTTAAGCGGTTGTATTCCATGCTATAAATCAAACTTATTTTGATCACACCTACGATCTACATGAAGTCGGATGTCTTACTGCATCCAAACCCCTACTCAATCTATATGTGCCAGCAGTTGAATCCAAAGGAGGAGGTCAACCTGGTTACTTTGAAGTGCAGTTGATACTGCATTTGAATAATTGGTTCAGCCCTCCACAAATTCAAGCACAGTTGGATAGATAAAGCTTGAGGAAAGGCAAGGACCTGGTGGTGGAGTGGTTACCGTGCCTGCCATAAATAAGCCAATGTGTTGATGCCTTTAAGCAGGAGAGCCCCGTTCGATTCGGGGTCAGGTCATTTCTTGGTCATTTCATGTCTTTTTAAAACTTTTCTTTCTTTCGTGCTTACTGGATTTCTTTTTCTGCTCTTATTGCCTTGCTTTCCTCTCACTGCCTTGATTGCATTGTAGCCGTTTAGGTAGACTAAGAATGTGCGAGAAGAAGTAGATGCCCAGGCCTGAGTAGCTGACAGGCGTGCTTTATTCTTTGGCCACAGAGAGTTAGGGTTAGATACAGGCAGAAAGGAGAGAAGGATCTGATAGTGAAGCAGGTCATCCATATCTTGTGTTCGCTTTTCTGCTTTTTTGGTGCTTCACTCGATGTTTGGATCTCATTTCGTCCGCTCTTAATGAGGTGAATTCGAGGTACCAGCCCAGCCTGGTTATATATGTAGTAGTGTAATTGAGTGCAGTGTCTCGACCAGCTATTTACTGCACTGAATATATAATTGGTTCAGCCCTTCGATAAATTCAAATTCAAGCACGGTTGGTTAGATACAAGTTGGGAGAGAGAAAAAAAGGAATGGACCTGGTGGTGGAGTGGTTACCACACCTGTTCGAATTATCGGGGTAACTTGTCTCCTAAGCAGGAGTCCCCCGTTCGATTCGGGGTCAGATTTTGTGATTGATTTTTCTTTTTCTTTTCCCTGCTTCACCCGAAATTTTCGATTACATTTCTTTCGTTCAAACCCTCTCGTGAATTCAACCTGACAAAATTGCAAAGTAGCTTTTGCAGAGATATGTGTAAAAAGCTGAATGGGAGAGGAGAAGTAGATGGACTTGGTGAGCTAAGTTTCCAGATGTGATTTGTTCCTTGTGTTGCATAGACTTAGACTTGGGTTGAGAGAAAGAACAGACCTGGTGGTGGAGTGGTTACCATGCCTGCCGTACATAAACCGAATATGTTCATACTTTTAAGCAGGAGTCCCCCGTTCGATTCGGGGTCAGGTCTTTTCGATCCTTTTATTCTTTTCCCACGATTTTTTTTTGTGCTCCGTTCGAATTCGCGCTGAGTGAGGTGAATTCGAAGTGCGCTAGTTCAATGGGTAGAGGGGGAGGGGATTTACGGTCATATGCATCATATTCCGGGGATTAGCAGACCTATTCAATCCTCGGATATGGATATAGAGGAAGGTTGAGAGAAAGCAAGGGAAGGACCTGGTGGTGGAGTGGTTACCATGCCTGCTTAAACTTCCATGAAGTAATAATGTGTTTCAGCAGGAGGCCCCCGTTCGATTCGGGGTCAGGTCATGGCTTCCAAATGTGCATTCTTTTTCTTGCTATTTTTATTTTATTTTAATTTGTGACAGGGTTCTCGCTCGTTTGGTTCTCATCTTTGCTCGCTACTTTTTTTTTTTGCCCTCATTGCATTCTGCGCTCATTGAGTTCGCTACAGCCAGGCACGAGGTACATGAGATAAGCGCGGAGATACGCGGTATCAGATAAGGATTGATAAGAGATAAGCGCGCGATGACGCGAGGCTGTGTGCGCGTGTTTGTCTCGGCGCGTCCGTGTCGGCTGTGTCCGTGTCTCTCATCGCGCCCGAGTGATCCATCGCCGTCAGATACCTAGCTTCCGACAGACTGCTGTGAGGGCGTGAGGTGCGTGCTGCGCCGCGATCCAGGACACCCACCTGACGGCGCGTAGTCGCTCTCGAAACGGCACGACAGCGAGACGAAGAGAGAGAGAAAGCAAGCAAGCGAGATGGGGAAGAAGAAGCATGGCGCACCGAAGGCGGGGCAGGGGCAGGGGCACAGGCAGGAGGGCAGGGGCAGGAAGGGGGAGGGGAAGGAGGAGGACGGGGCGGCGCTCACGGCCGCGGCGCTCGCGGCGACGAATGAGCTGATTGCCACCGCGAAGGAGCTGTATATGAGCCTTGGGGGCGGGGAGTCGGGGAGCGAGGACGGCGCTCCGGCCAACGGCAAGGCGAGGGCGTGCGAGGGGGAGGGAGGGGGGAAAGAGCGGGAAGGGGAGGAGGAGGGCGGGGACGATGCGGTGGAGGCGCTGCTGGGTGCGGATGCGGCGTATTGGCGGGCGCTGCCGCGGAGCGTGCGGGAGTTCGTGGGCGGGGTGTACAAGATGCAGGGCGCGCCTGCGGGCGGGCTGTCCTCGGGCGAATTTGCGCGGAGCGTGCGGGCGGCGGCGGCGGCGTTGGTGCCCTCTAGTAACGAGAAGGGTGAGTGCGATATTCGCATCATCGAGCCCAGACTGACGCCCGGCATTCTCCGGCAGGAATTCAAAGTCCGACTGATTACCAAGAATTTGCTACGACAGCGCTCGTCGAGACGATTGACGACGGCACGCAGAGCGGCAGGACGAGCCCGATGGCGCCGAGCACACCCTCCAGCGTCTCCATCGGAAAAAAGCCCATGGCCTATGCACAGCAGCCCGCTGCCCCCCCGGCCCCGCGCAGTGCCCGCGCACAGGCAAAGGCCCCCGTCAGCGCCAACAGCACCCCAAATCCGAATCCCACCGCGAGTCCGAATGCCGCTGCAGGCGCAGCGGGGTACGGGGCCGCGGAGAAGGCCAAGGCCCCGGCGAACAACAAGATCTGGAGCACGAGCTCGAGCGAGGAGCGCGAGCGCATCCGCGACTTTTGGCTCGCGCTCGCGGAAGACGAGCGCCGGGACCTCGTCAAGGTCGAGAAGGACACGGTCCTCCGCAAGATGAAGGAGCAGCAGAAGCACTCGTGCTCGTGCGCCGTGTGCGGCCGCAAGCGGTGCGCCGTCTTTCTTTCACTTTCTCTTCACTCATCTTATCGATTCGCAGAAACGCCATCGAGGAGGAGCTGCAGGTGCTCTACGACGCGTACTACGAGGACCTCGAGCAGTACGCGCTCTACCAGCAGCAGTACCTCTCCTCCAACCGCACCCTCCCGCCGCCCCCCGGGCCCGGCCCGTTCCCCGGCAGCGTCGAGGTCGACCGCTACGGCGCCGTCGTCGCCGGGGCCGTCGGCTACCCGCCCGCCGCGCCCGCCCCCGGCCGCCGCCGCCGCAAGGGCCGGGGGAGAAGGCCGGCGGCGGTGCCTGAGGAGGAGGACGTGTATGAGGAGGAGGAGGAGCCGAGCGAGGAGGGCGAGGAGGAGGAGGGCGAGGAGCCGCCGCCGCCGCCGCCCGTCAATGGTGCTGCGCGCCGCGGGGCACCGCCTGCGAGAGGTGGGGGGAGAGGTGGTGGGCGGGGCGCGGTCGATCTGAAGGGCAAGATTGCTGCGGGGGTAGGCGCGGGTGTTGGGGGTGAGTTTTCTTTTTCGGCTCTTTGTCTTTTCTTTTGTGTGTGGCTCTGGGCCGTGGGCGACGGCCTTGCTATTCGCCCTGGTCGCCTTATCTGCGGCGCGGATGCGATCACCCGCCATCACCCCGTCCACACCGACGCCCACGACTCCGCCACCCGTTCATTCCTTCATCCATCCCATACTCTATCGCTCTACCCCGCTTCCCCCCCGTCTACCCGCCTTCCTCGCGTTGGGTTCCGCCACCGCCACCGTACCCCGCTGCCAACATCCATTGCTTTTTTTTTTTTGGACCTTGCTACCTACTTTCGTCCTTGCCCTTCCTACTTTCGTTCTCCGCCCCCCTGCCTTTCCTCTCCTTCGCCTTCCTGCTGTCCCACCGTCCCCTTACCGACTCCCGCCATCCCACACGCTACTCCCGCCATCCCACGGGCTGCTCGTGTGCCCACACCGCCACCATCACGCGCGCCCTCCCACCCTCCCTGTGCCCCCTTTCTCTGCCCATCCCGCCCTCCCGTTCCCGCCACCTGTCATGCGCATGCGCACGCACGCACCCCGGCGGCCCGCCCTTCGCTTCGGGGTTGGACGCACCGCCACCCTCCCTGCCCTCCCTTCGTTCTCCATTTCCCTCCCTTCTCCCGGGACTCCGGTACCCGCTGCTCGGTGCTCGGTGCCCTGGCCATGCCCCTCCTGCCAGCACCCCAGCGGCTTTGCGTAGCCCTCCCGCCGTCTCTTTCCCCCCCCTCTTCGCCCACCCACCGCACGTCCCGCGATCTGATACTCTTGCCTTGCTTGGGTACCTCCCTATCCTTCTGTCGTTTACGCTCCGCGTTCTCTTCCCCCCCTCTTCTTACCTTCTTACTCGATGACTTCCTGGATGCATTGAATGCTGACGCCGCGCACGCAGGCCCGACGAGCATCCTCACGGTCGCGGACGACCTGCTCAAGAACGACGGGCAGAAGTTCCTCGAGATGATGGAGCAGCTCGTGCGTCCTTCCTTCTCCTCTTCCTTGTCATCTCTACTCGTTTTTCTTCCGTCCTTCTCGGCTTCTTTTTCGTGCACCCTGTCTTGATGTTCCCTCTCGCCTTGGCGTGGTCCCTTGTGCGTTGCTGGGGGCGCCGGGCCTCTGAGCGTCAGTCCGGTTTGGACGCGGAGGGACGCGGAGGCCGCTGTGTGTCCGCCTGCGGGCGGAGGACGTGGTGGCGCTCTGGTTCTGCCGTCCAGTCGACTGCGTGTCGATGTGGGGCTTGCGGGAGACGCCGTGCGTGGGCTGCCTTGCCTTGCCCCTTGCCCTGGGCTGGCTTGCGGGTTCTGGGTTCTGGGTCGTGTGCTCGCGTGCAGTCCCCCCCCTCGTCGTGTCGTGTACAGTCCTTTGCAGGGGTGCCCTCCCTTGCCTTCCTTCCTTTCCTTCCCTTTTCCACTTCACCTTCACTCCCCCCCTTCCTCCTCTTTTCTTTCCTTCGAGTCCTGCAATATCGATAACTGACGTGTACTTTTTTTTTTTCTTTTTTTTTTGCAGGCGGAGCGCCGGATGCAGCGCGAGGAGGAGGCGGCGGGGGGCGTTAGTGGGGATGAGGTGTGTTTTTTTTTTTCGCTTTTATGTTTCTTCTCTTGTTTCTTCATTCGGTCATTTCCTCTTCATTCGCCATACCTCCGTTTCCCCCTCTTCGTTCCGTTTTGTTCGTTTCCTGTGCAGTCTACTCCCTCCGCTTCTTCGTACCCACGGATACACGATACGCGCTCCCGTCCATGCACGCACGATACGAGCCTTCCCGCGTCCCCTTGCTGGTCTTTCTACCCGTGGTGCTTTCTTGCTGCACGCTGTCCCTGCCCCTGCCCGCCCCGTCCTTGCTTCTCCTCCCCGCTCCTCCTCCGCCCCCTCCGCACTCTTCCCTCCTTCCCTTGAGCTTTTTGATAACTCTTTTGCTACACCCTACTAACCCCCTCCTCTTTAGGACGACTCCTCAGACGACCTCGGCTCGGAGGACGACGCGTCGGACGCGTCGGGGGACGAGTCGGGCGAGGAGGACGACGACGGGGAGGACGACGGGGAGGAGGACGGGGAGGGGGACGAGGAGGGGGAGGAGGGGGAGAGCGAGGGGGAGGAGGTGAGTTTGCGTTTTTTCTATCTGCGCCTCCGCCGTCTTTTTTTCCCGAAGAGAGAGGCGTTGCTGCGCCGTCCTGAGAACGAGGGGAGGCCGGACGTTGTGTCTTGACGAGGCGGGGCGCTGTCTTCGAGGCGCTGCTCTTCGAGAGACCTGGCCTCTCCCTGCGCCGTCACTTGGTCTCCGGCCTTGGCCCCTGGCCTGCGCCGCGGTCCTCTCCCTTTCGCCCTCTTCCCTTCCCCCCTTTCGCCCTTGCCTTCGAGAGTACCCAGAAACTGACTCCACCTTTCTTTTTTCTACTTTTTGCGCAGGTGATGACGGAGGAGCAAAAAATGGAGGAGGGCAAGCGCATGTTCAGCATCTTCGCGGCGCGGATGTTCGAGCAGCGCGTGCTGCAGGCGTACCGGGAGCGCGTTGCGCAGGAGAGGCAGCTGCAGCTTTTGCGGGAGGTGAGTCGCGTTTCCATGTCTTCGCTTTGTTTTGTGTTCGCTCGTCGGTGGAGGGGCGGTGGGGAGAGGGAGGCGAGGAGGAGACGGAGTGGCGAGACTGCCAGAGACGAGCCGACGGGGGCGTGGGACGTGTGATGGAGATACAGAGCAGCGCTGACGCCTTTCTTTTCGCAGCTGGAAGACGAGGACGAGCGGGAGCGGGAGAAGGAGGCGAAGAAGCAGACGCAGAACCAGAAGAAGAAGGATAAGAGGCGGTACGTCGTCGCTCTGTCCTCTGTCTTCCGGCAAGACACAAAGAGAGCTGCTTTGCTGATGTGTGGTGTGTTGCGCGCGCAGACAACAAAAGCAGGCCAAGGAGGAGAAGGAAGCGCAGAAAGCGGCGGAGAAGGCGGCAGAGGAGGCGGCGGCCAAGGCGAAGCAGGTGGCCGCGGAGGAGGAGCAGCGCAAGCGCCGCGAGGAGGAGCGCGTCAGGCGCGAAGTGGCGCGCAAGGCGCAGGAGGAGGAGAAGGCGAAGAAGGAGGAGGAGAGGAAGCGCCGACTGGCGGATGAGAAGGAGAAGGAGGCGGAGCGCGAGCGGAAGCGGCGCGAGAAGGAGGAGCGGGGGAAGGCGGAGAAGAAGGAGCGCGAGGAGCGCGAGAAGAAAGGGAGGGAGGAAAGGGAGGCGCGCGCGGCGAAGGAGCGCGCGGCGCAGCTTGCGGCGGCGCGGGAGCGCGAGGAGAAGGAGAGGGAAAGGAAGAAGGCGGTGCGGGAGAGGGAGGAGAGGGAGGCGAAGGAGCGGGCGGAGAAGGCGCAGCAGCAGCAGACGCAGCAGCGCGCGGTCGCGATGGCGAAGAGCAGCAGCAACAGCAGCCACAGCAGCAACAATGCGCGCGCGGCGGCGGTGACGTCGCCCACACCACCGCGGGGTGCGAATGCTGCCGGGAGCGCCAACGCGGCTGCGTCGGGGTCGAGCCAGCGCGCGGCGGTGCCGACGACGAACGGCGCCGTGCAGCAGCCGAAGAAGATCCTCAACAAGCAGCCGCAGCAGTCCGCGCCAATCCCCATCCCCGCCGCCTCTGCTGCCTCGAGCGCGCCGCCCGTGTCCTCGCCACCCCCGCAGGCCATTGCCGCGCGCCACATGTCGCCCCCGCAGGTGCAGCAGCCCCGCATAGTCCCGCCCCTCCACGCGCACTCGCTGTCCATGTCGCACTCGCAGCCGCAGACGCCCCTCACGCCCCAGATGACGCACATGCCGCCCACGCCCATGTTCCCGCAGCAGCAGCAACAGCCCATGTCTCCGCGCGGCGGGTTCGTCCCGCCGCCATACGGCTTTGCCCCCGGCCCAGGCCCGTCGTCCATCCAGCTCGCGCAACAGCAGCAGCAGCAACAAGGCATGCCCCCGACGCCGCGCGGCTTCGCGCCCGGACCCTCAAGTGCGAATGCCTTCGACCCCGCCGTGAGCACGGGCGCACCTGGGGGACCGCCGTTCCACCGCGGGCTGCCCACCTCGGCCTCGCTCCCGCTCGCTTCGCCCATCGGGCCCCCGCCCAAGCTCGCGCCGGGCTCGGGCCGCCGCGCGTCGCTCATGGGCTCGCCGGTCGTCGACCCCGGCCCCATCACGCGCCCGTCGCCCATCGCGCGGCCTGCCCCCGCCCCGGACAGCGGCAGCGGCAGCGGATCCGCCTCACCTGCGCGCCGCTCGCCGAGCCCGAAAGGCGTGCTCGGCTCGGCGGCGCTGCTGGCGGACGACGACGAGGTCGTGCCCGCGCGCCGTGCGGGCGGCGGCGGCGCGGTCGGACAGAGCTGGGGCGCACCTGGCTCCGCGGGCCGCGGGGCGCCTGCGCCGTGGGGTGCGCCTGGCGTCGGGTTCAATGGCATCGGCGCCGGCGTCGGGCGCTCGCCGCAGGCGCCCGCAGCCCTCTGGGGGAACGCCGCCGCGCTGAACAGCAATGCGCAGCCCGAGTGGCACCCCGCGGCGATGGGCGCGTTCTACCCGCGCGCGGCGTACATCGGCAACCCCGCCGCCGCGTCGTCGCCCCCGCCGCACTCGAACGGGAGCTGAAGGTGCCCTGCATGAAGAAATCTTGACCGTCTTCGTTTCGTTTCTCGTTTCTCTTTTCTCTTTTACCTACTACTTACTAGCATCTCTTTCGTTACACTGACACGATTGACTCCTTCCCATGATCTAATCCCCAAACCAATACAATTCTCAAAAGACTCGCTTTTTGGTGTGCTGAGAGGAAATTACCGGATGTGGAATCTTCCGGTTTGGTGTTTGACGCTGCTCGACCTCGACGCCTCCAGTTCACCACTGTGCGCCCCTCGCCTCAAATGATGTCAAGGGATGTAGTCGCACAAGCGTACATGAGGCATGCTCATGCTCAGGGCCGGAAAGTCGCTAGTCGTCCGAGTGAACCCGACGAAGTCTGAAGAATGTGCATGTAAGTACCTTACTAGTAGATGCGGCGAAAGACCGCAAGAAGTTCGGCGTGCTTTAACGGCGGCAGGCAACGGTTCGCGATCTCTGGCTGTGCGGGTTCAAACATTGACATGCACAGACACAGTCGTCTTTCTTCGAAGGGCGCACACCTCGGTATTTACTTCTGCCCCCGATGCACAATGCACTGCCGATCCAGAGGCTGTCGGCGGTGGTTGACGCAGCGCACCTCCGACTTGCACCAATTCTACTTCCGCTCACCGGTTAACAAGGAAGATCGAGTTATAGGATTTAGAAGAGTCTCTCTCATCAAGCGGTCTCCCTATTTTCCTGCACGTACCAGAAATATCTCCCTGTGGCCGCGGGGGAGTCCAAATGGCCGAACTCAGCGCGATAAGTGAACAAGCCAAGTTGGCCAACGATACCCACGTAGCCTTTGCATGTATGGCGCTATACTCAAATTTGAGGAGACAAGATCGTAGTGAGAGTCGAGAGAACAACCAAATTCATTTCCAAGAAATGCCGAAGAACCAAAAAAAAACTAACAAGCCAAAAAGATTCACAAGTCCAATCAACACCTGACTCCGAATCGAACGGAACTCTCCTGCTCAAACGTATTCCACCATCCTCATTTGCAGGAGGTGTGGTAACCACTCCACTACCAGGTCATTTAAGACGCAGTACGGCTTTGGCTCCTAAAACATTTTGTTGTTCAAATGACGAAGTTACCGGGACGGGGGAAACGACCACGAATTAAATGGCCCCCTGCTGAAATGACTGATTTTGGGCGGACTATCAGCAGCTGCAGTAACCACTCCACCATCAGGTCATTAGTTCTTCTCAATTGTTGAACCAGCTCTATCTAACTCACGGCTCGGGGTCAAGCTCGAGTATTTCCTTGTCATCCGGCTCCCCGGACCCGGTGTGATTCAAAATGAATGAAGGTCACTCACTGTTCGTTGCAGTTACTTTCCCACAACGAAGGCCCCCCCGCGTTACTTTCGCTCACGCGGAGGGCCCATTGGGTTAGAATTGATGGTTGAAGCTCAAAAAAATGTTAAGCCACGTGACATGTTTAAAATTCAACCTCGTCTCGAACTAAAGTGATTTGGACGCACCCTTGTCGCTGGCCGGCACGAGCGCCGCCGCCACCGCCCGCACGCTCCGCGCAAACTCGCCCGACGACAGCCCGCCCGCGGGCGCGCCCTGCATCTTGTACACCCCGCCCACGAACTCCCGCACGCTCCGCGGCAGCGCTCGCCAATACGCCTCGTCCGCCCCCAGCAGCGCCTCCACCGCATCATCCCCGCCCTCCTCGCCCTCCTCCTTCTCTCTCCTCCCTCCCTCCCCCTCGCACGCCCTGGCATTCCCGTTCGCGGGACCGCCCTCGCTCCCCGACTCCCTGCCCCCAAGGCTCATATACAGCTCCTTCGCGGTGGCAATCAGCTCATTCGTCGCCGCGAGAGCCGCTGCCGTCAGCGCCGCCCCGTCCTCCTCCCCCGCCCCCGCCCTCCCTCTCTCTCTCCCCGCGGACTTCGGTGCGCTATGCTTCTTCCCCATCTCTCGCTTCCCTTCCCAAGTTTTGTTTCGTTTCGTCTCGCGAGCGGATTCTACAGCCCGTCAGCCCGCGCCGCCCAGCACAGTACGAGCACGCACCTCATGCCCTCACAACAGTCTGTCGGAAGCTAGATATCTGACGGCGATGGATCACTCGGGCGCGATGAGAGACACGGAGACAGCCGACACGGACGCGCCGAGATAAACACGCGCACACAGCCTCGCGTCATCGCGCGCCTATCTCTTATCAATCCTTATCTGATACCGCGTATCTCCGCGCTTATCTCATGTACCTCGTGCCTGGCTCGAGTATCGTATATACGGCTCGCAATGCAACGAGGGATAGATGGAAAATAAATGTAAGAATCGATTCGAAGAACACTGTATAGCGAGAGAAGGAACGAGTAGGTAAAAAATAAAAATCTCACTACACAATCCATGACCTGACCCCGAATCGAACGGGAGCCTCCTACCAAACTGGTTTGTACACCCTTCAGCTTCAACAGGCATGGTAACCACTCCACCATCAGGTCCTTACCTCTCCCTCTCAACCTCACTTGAATCTGTCGAGGGCTGAACCAATTATCCAGTGCAGCATCAACGGCTACTCGCCGAGACACTGCACTGCACTAAATTCGTTGACCTAGTCCTTTGAATTCTCCTCAATCAGAGTAAACGAAACGCAACCGCGTTAAACCAAAAAAAAAAAAAAGTAACAAAGATATCATCAATGACCTGACCCCGGATCGAACGAGGGACTCCCCCACTCAGGTAAGTATTGCAGCCATAACTTCAGCAGGTATGATAACCACTCCACCACCAGGTCCATTTTCCCTTTGACCCAAGTCTACCTCTATGCAACTCAAGGAATCAATTACATCTGGAAACTTAGCTTACCAAGTCCATCTACTCCTCTCACATTCAGCTTCTTACATGTCTGCAAAACTACTCTGCAATTTCGTCAGGTTGAATTCAAGGGAGGGTTCTTTGAACGAAAGAAATGTAGTCGGACATTCGGGTGAAGCAGAAAAAAAAAATAGGATACCCAAATGTTTATGACCTGACCCCGAATCGAACAGGGTACCTCCTGCCAAATTCTTCTCTGTATATTCAAAATTCAAAGCAGGCGTGGTAACCACTCCACCATCAGGTCTGTTCTTCCTCCCAACCTACATCTAACTTGATGCAACCCAAGGAACAAAGCACCTATGCACTGAACTCAAGCTCAAGCTCGGGCATCATCTACTTCTTCTCGCACATACTTAGTCTATCTAAAGACTACGATGCAATCAAGGCAGTGAGAGCAAAAATCGAGTGAAGCACAAAAAAAGGAAGAGAAGAAAAAAAGACAGCAAAAAACATAGAAGACCTGACCCCGAATCTAACAGGGCTCTTCTGCTGAAACGGCTTAAAATACCCGGCATTTACAGCAGGTGTGGTAACCACTCCACCATCAGGTCTTCTCTTTCTCTGAACCTCTATCCGGGTGTAATGCAAGTCTATGCAACTCCAAGATTGAAGGGCCGTGTACATTTACATAACCACAGAGGAAATTGCACATATACACTGAAATAATTCACAATAGAATCTCGGAGTCCAAGCTAGATGATCAGAGAGCAAAATGATCGCAGGATTCATGCCAAGTCGTCAGGGAATGATGAGAGCGAAAAATCCGATGAAGCAGAAAAAAAAAGAAGACTGAAATGTTATGACCTGACCCCGAATTGAACGGGGGTCTCCTGCGAGACATGCTACGTTCAACTGTAGTTTCAGCAGGCATGGTAACCACTCCACCATCAGATCCTTCCCTCCCCTTCTCTCTGCCTGTATCTAATTCTAACTCTAACTCTCTGCAACCTCTCTGCAACCCAAGGAACAAAGTACCTATGCACTGAACTCAAGCTCGAGCTCGAGCCCCATCTACTTACTTCTTCTCACACATTTTACTACCTAAAGAATTAAGGCAGTGAGAGCACAAAGTAATGAGAGCCAAAGAAAATCGGGCAAAGCACCAAAAGAAGATAAAAAGAAGAAGCAGAGATGTTATGACCTGACCCCGAATCGAACAGGGGCCTCCTGTCTAAATTGAAATCTCATTTGGAACAATGTCAATTTCGGCAGGCATGGTAACCACTCCACCATCAGGTCTTTTTCTTCCTCTCAACATCTCAACCTCTATCTACCAACTTGATTTTCATTTTAATTTGAGGGTTCTGAGGGCAGTTGAACCCATTCTTCAGTGCAGTATCAAAGACTGGTTGCCTATGGCGGTCCGTTTGCACTTTTATTCATCCAGCATATTTTCTGGCTTTTCCAGTGTTTTTTCAGTCCTTTTCGTGTACTCACCAACTTTTGCTGAAAGCATACAAACTTTTATTCTCACCAGCTTTTTTTTTTGGTACTTGAACAAGAACACTTTTTTTTTACACCGCTGCAAGCCATTGTTTTGTTTTGGGGTGATCGGAGTCATCCGGAGACCATGTGACCAGGTGCCCATTTGGGATATCTTCAGTCATACAGCCCAGCACTGTCAGAATCAGAGGCAGAAAGGGACTAGGAGGTGTGCCGTAGCATTTGCTTTGATATTGATAGCCATAAATTGTCAGTAGCAATACAAATAGCAGTGTAGAGCTAGGTAGAGCCATCTTGCAGTCATCAGAGCCTTTAATTCGGATGTTTTCATGCTCTGGGTTATTCCATGATGCAGGGCCTCATCAATGAGACCCAAGAAGGAGTATGAACTGATTGGAAGTGCATCTGAGGATATCCTGAGCTGAGTGAGCTCATATGTGCTACAAAAGCTCTGATAACACGTAGAAGTTGTGTTATTTGCTAGTATATCTTGATCCCAAATGGACGTGTATGGTCACATGATCTACCGTGCTGTATGCAACCAAAATAAAACTTTTTTTTGGCAAGGGTAGCAATAAGTCAGGGAGACAAGGGAACATGTATTTATGACATCCAATAAAACTTTCATCGCTAAAGTCTGAGAAAAAACACAGGACAGTGAAAAGGACTGAAAAAAACACTGGAAAAGCCAGAAAATATGCTGGATGAATAAAAGTGCAAATGGACCACCATAGTTGCCGAGACACTACACTGCAAAGTAATAACCAGGTTGGGCTGGTACTTCACTCTGAGCGGCCGAAATAAGATACAAAAATGCGAATAAAACACAAAATAATGAAGACAAAAAAGAAATAGCACGAGAAAGAAGAATGACCTGACCCCGAATCAAACAGGGGCCTCCAGCCTAAACAATTGTATGCTTACTGAAAATTAGAGCAGATGTGGTAACCACTCCACCATCAGGTCTGTTCTTTCTCCCAACCCAAGTCTCAGTCTATACACCTGAAAACTCAACTCACCAAGTCCATCTACTTTGCTCTCTCACATTCAACTTCTTACACACTTACACACATGTCTCCAAAAGCTCTGCAATGCCATCAGGTTGAATTCAAGGGAGGGTTGTTTGAAGAGGAAAAAGTAATTGAAAATTCGGGTGAAGCACCCAAAAAAAAGGAAGAAAAAGAAAATTGGAATGGGACAATGGATGACCTGACCCCAGATCAAACGGGGTCTCCTGCTGAACTTTCGTTTTCGCGATTTTCTTAATCCGAGCAGGTGTGGTAACCACTTGACCACCAGGTCTGCCCTTTCTCCCTGCCTGCAGCTAATCAATTCCATTCAAATTTGAATTTGAATTTGTGAAGGTTGTACTAATTATTCGAATTCAGCATTGCTGCCTGGGATAGACACTGTAAATTACCTGCCCCCTCTCCACTCTCCTCTACTCAGTTCTAGTCTTCAACTTCGAATTCAAGTCAAGGAGAGTGAACGAACTGCGAGCAAAATTCCGATAAAGCAGAAAAAGAAAAATAGAAAGACATGAAATGACCTGACCCTGAATTGAACAGGACTCTTCTGCTCAAATTGACATGCAGCTACCTCATTTGCAGCAGGTATGGTAACCACTCCACCATCAGGTCTGTTCTTACCCCATAACACATATCCAGGTGTAATGCAAGTCTATGCAACTCCAGACTGGACTCTCATGTATATTTAACCACTGAAGAAACTGCACACATACCTACTGAAGTAATTCACAATAGAATCTCGGAGTCTAAGCTGGTCAGAGAGCACCAAAATGCATGCCAGTTATCAGGTGAATTGTCAGGGAACAATGAGAGCAAAAAATTCAGGTGAAGCACAAAAATATTCAGATTCGGATGAATGACCTGACCTCAAATTGAGCAGGGGTCTCCTGTTGAACTTCAAGCTATCTTCATTCCTCAATCTGAGCAGGTGTGGTAACCACTCCACCATCAGGTCTACTCTTTCTCCCAACCCAAGTCTACCTCTATGCAACTCAAGGAACGTGTAATGCTAGGTTGTTCAGGAGCTTCACCGAGGCTGAAGCGGAGTTTCGTGGAGCCAGCAGCCGTGAAGGTGCTCGGCTGCACAAGATAGTTCTTGAGGGACGGGGGCTGCCGACTCAGGCGCCCACCGTCATTGTGACCCATCGACAAGGGGACAGTTGACCCGCGCCGGGGACCCCTGAGACCCAGTAGGTGTGGGGAGCAGTTATATGCTTGCTCAGGCATCTGGTGGGTCAGTAGGGGTGCTCCCTCGGAGTCAGTCGTTCACGCCATGAATGTTAGAGTAAAGTCAGATTAGATTAGGTAATCCTATCATGTGGCTACGAGTGAATAAGTACAAGTAAGAACGAAGTAAGTAGGTAAGTAAAGGCATCAGGCTGTGTAATCGTACAGTAGCATACGGGTGTCACCGAACGAATCACATCTCACAAAGCCCATCTATTTACTCTCTCACATTCAGATTTTTACATGTCTCAAAAGTTAATGCTATAAGGTTGAATTCAGGAGAGGTTGTTTGAACGAAAAAGATAAGATCCAAAAAATTCGGGCAAACCACAAAACACTATTCAGATTCGGATAAATGACCTGACCCCGAATTGAACGGGGACCTCCTGCGAAACTGCATTATGATCGTATGAATTTCAACAAGTATAGTCACCACTCCATCATCAGGTCCTTCCCTCATCTTACCCTGCAATTCAACTTATCAGATCTCCAACTTTCTTGAACCCATGCAAAGTGATGTCTGGACTGTAAGGACTCGTGGGCCTTCAGTGCAAGCCAGCCTCAGCCATGACGGAGGATGAGATGAAAAATTGTGAAGCACAAAAACAAAACTCAGACAATGAATGACCTGACCCTGAAATCCATACTGAATCCGAGCAGGTGTGGTAACCACTCCACCATCAGGTCCTTTTCCTTTCTGTCCGGGTTTCTGTATCCAGATCATTTGAGCTCCCATCTCAATGATCTCATGCACAACTTCACTGCCCCCTTGAAAACCAACGACACTTTCACTCATTTCCCGGCTAAGTAATGCAGTTACCCCATTCACCCCTCTGCATTGGATCGTCTGGAGCCGTGCTCAAACGTGGAAGGCCTATCGGGTGCTTGAAACTTCAACTTCAACTTCAGCGAAATTGAAGAATTGGGAGCGAAGTGACAAGTTGAAAATTCCGAGTTCAACCTCCTTTTCTCTCCTCTCTGGGGCTCTCGTCGTGCTTCACAAGCGAATAGGGATTGGTGCGCTCGATTCTCAGAGGCAGGTTCTTCCGTGAGATGAAGGGCTATCAAGAATGTGAGAAGTTCTAGGGGACACTGAGGCATGCCCGAATTTAAACATTCGTGAAAGAGGGCTCGATCATAAAGGATCCTTCGACGGTGCGCCCGCGGGCCGGAATGTTTTGGTCTCATGGTGCTGGAAGGGAGTAACTGGTAATGAAACGAACAATTATTGTACACTCCACCCGCCTTTTCACCCCAGAACGATCGTTTTTACAGTAATCCGGGAGTGGGGCACGCTTGAGTCTGAGGCTGCGATGGAACCGCCAAGCGGAATGTTAAGGTCAGTGAGTCGCGAAGAAGAGCCACATTCGCGTCAGCGAACTAGTACGCACCTGCAAAACGGAATCGACGTTGACGGGAACGTAGCCGCCGAGCCAGTTTTCCAATCCAATCTCTCCGAATCTACACAATTAGCCAATTCAACTTCCTTCCTACGGACGCCGTTATTCCAATCTCCCCTACTCCTCGGCGACCAATATCACCGGCTTGCCCGCAGCCTCGTTCCCGCCTTCTGTCAGGACGGCCACCAGCGCGGCCGGCCCGTTCTCCAGCCCCTTCGTGATATGCTCCTTGGCGGTGATCTTGCCCGCGGCGACGAGGCCCGGCATCTCCGCGTAGAATCGGGGGGCGAGGCGCGGGGCGAGGTCGGGCACGAGGAAGCCCTCGATGCGGAGGCGCTTCTTGAAGATCTGGTTCGTGTTCTGTTGGGCTCGGTCAGTATAAGTCAGTTCGCGATGTGCAGACGGCCTGCCTTGATCCCGTATCGCTCCTCCGGCGCGACGGAGTACTCCGATATCGAGCCGCACATCTTGTGCAGTGAATATACGCAATGAATAGATGTAATGTTGAGAACGTACAATCAGGCGGGCGTGCAGGCGCGAATATTCGATGGCTGCTTCGACAGTCTCGCCGCCCACATTATCCCAGTACAAATCCTGGGAAACGAGTTATAATAGTCAGCACAGAGCGAAATAAAATGGTTACCAATGGGCCGTGCTCCTTCAGAACGTCGACGATGGGGGTAGTCTTGTAGTTGAAGGCAACATCCGCTCCGAGAGAGCGCATGTACTCGACCTTGGCGTCTGCACCGGTCGAGGCAATCACCTTCAATCTGAACGTCCTCCGTTTGTGATGGACCATGGAAAAAGAATTGAACGAACCCCTTTGCCTTGGCCAGCTGAATCACAACACTGTCGAATATAATCAGCCCGTGTGTCAAATAAAGACTCCGGACTCACATTCCAACCGCAGAGGCACCCGAAGAGATGTAGATAGTTTCTCCCTAGCTTGATCAGCGCGAGGCACAGTAACGGAGATCAGACGCAATTTACAGCTTTCGCGTCCGCACACCCTTCGAACCCGCAAAAGGCCGTGAGGCCAGGCGCGCCGAGGACGGTGAAATACCGGCTCCACGGGAAAGCCCCTTTGGGGTCTGGGACCACCTGTAGAGACAGCGCATCGACATCAAATGTGTAATCCGGGACCTCTCCGGCATTGTACTTCGCCCGCCCTGTTTATTTGACCTCAGGTTTACGTATAACGCGGGAATAATTGGTCTCACCCTCGACATACGGCTGAACAGTGTACACCTCCCATGTGGTGAGCCCATACAGGTGGTCCTGGATTTGGATATCAAAGTGTGTGTTTGATTGAGGAAACAGGGCCTACTCCGGGGTTTATTCCTATGTTTAAGGTCAGACGTCAATGCTTCCTCTTGGAAAGGCTGCCGCTCGCCTTCCTTCTCGGACCTCAACACAACGACGAGACCGAAACTCACCAGCATAAGATACAACGTTTAGCACGAATTCGGAGCACCAATCCAGCAGTCTCACGGATCCCCCACGACGGCGTGCGTAGAATAACTTGGAACCGATGGGTCGCGCATCCGTTCGCGCATGAAGGGCTCGGGGCTGAAGGTAAGGGCGACGTAAGATCCCCAACGCACGAAATCCACCGATAACACTCACCTCAACATCAACGTCTTCGTCAGGAATCCGCCATTCAGCGGGACGCTGTCGAGATCGATTGAATGCGATGGCTCGAACACGATGTGCTCTCCCGCAACCGGCAGGCCTGTTCCAGGCCGCTTTGCGAACACGACGCGAGGGTTTTCCGTCAGCATGGGAGGGAAATGTGGGCGCCGCGATTCGTGGGGATTATATCACTCGCTGACAGTGCTCCTAGTCGGTGGGACCTGATCATGAGGTGTTTCGGTTGGTGGCACTGGCATACCCGCTATGGTGTGCCCGCCCAATGAACGTAGATCAGAAAACAAAGAAGTCCAGAAGGCGACCAGAACCGCGCGTATCAGACGCGTATCTTTGTCGAAGCAGCGGGAACTGCCGTTCGTCCTGGAGACATTTTGAGGGCCGATGGAATTGGGGGTAGAATCATGGAATTCCAGCGGTGGAACTTTCCCTGAGCTGTCGTTCTTGGAAGTTTTGGTGCGGGATGTTACGCCCCGTCGGGGCGTGGGATGGATTTTCCGAAAAGAAAACACCGGCGGCCCTGGTTCTGTCCAGATTTCAACCCAGCGGAGCTGGCCGTAACTCGGATAAGGTGTTTAAGTTGTCGACGTCAAGAGCAAGCGACAGCGAGTTTTGTATCAACGACAGTCACATGCCACGTCGGTGTGCATTCACAACATCAACCATTAAACCAAGTTGAAGTTGAGTCGATTGTCTTGCAGAGGTCTAAGCGTTCTTCGCCATTGTTTTAAATAAATGATGCTGGCAACGCTGGCACAAATGCAAAGCTGACGCCGCGATAGCCTCACCAAAATGAAGTGCGAGATGGAAACCAACACTTGACCGACACAATGACAGCACGGTCATGTAAACCGGCGGGCCTCAAAAATATTTACTCCAGGGACATGAAGACATCAGTGGGAGGAGAACTAAAAACTCGTGAACCGACAAAGGTACCAACAGCGTCAATATCATGAATCCGTGCCTTGTCCAGAAAGGATCGAACGAGTGGAAGATCAGATGCGAAGCGAAATGGCGCATAAAGTGGAGAGGACGGTACGAAGTTAAACTGGAAACATCACAGTGCTAGAGTTTTCCAACTTGTTCTGAGCCTAACATGAGACGACGCAAAACAGATTCAACTCACGGAAACATGGCGACTCAATGCAGCATCCCAATTGCGACCAGACCAGAGACGAGGCTCACGAGTAAAATTTCGGCGTACTCCCCACTGCCGCTGTATCCGATGCGCGCGCCTCGTAACGCAGCGTTCGTTGGGGAGGATCCTGGTAGATATAAAGAATTAGCGTCAACGACTGCAAGCGGCCTTTTATTTTTCAGCTTACCTGAGCTGGAGCT